TTACACTAACGAGACAATATGTTGTTACACATGTAGGTCTGATTTACTTCAGTTATGAGTATGGTATCTAGTTGTGACCATTTACCTATAAAAGCCTCGAGTTTATCTTTCTTTATAACTGAGTAATATTCCATTTTATAAAAATGCCACAATTTTTTTATCCATTCCTCAGTGGATGGACATTTGGGTTGCTTCCATGATTTAGCTACTAAAAATTGCACTGCTATAAACATGGGTGCACATGTGTTGCTGTGATATAATGTTTTCAGTTCTTCTGGGAAAATACCCAGAAGGGGAATAACTATGTTGAATGGGACCTCTAGACCTAGTTTTCTGAGGAATCTCCAAACCGATTTCCACAGTGGTTTCAACAGTCTGCATTCCCACCAGTAGTGGAGAAGAGTTCCTATTTCTCCATAGCCTCGCCAGCATTTGTTATTGGTTGATTCTTATGGGGTGAGATGAAATCTCAATGTTGTTTTAATTTGCATTTCTCAAATGACTAATGATGTTGAACATTTTCTCGTGTATTTATTTGCCATTTATATTTCTTTATCTGAGAAGTGTGTATTTGTCTCAGATGCCAATTTTAGGATTGGGTCTTTGAATCTGGGGGGTTGATGCTTTTTAATTCTTTATATGTTCTAGACAGAAGACCTTTGTCTGAGGGACAGCGAGCTAAATTTTTTTCCCAGTTTGTGGGTTTTCCTTTTACTCTGCTGGTGATTTATTTACATATGCAAAAACTTTTCAGTAAGATGAGATCCCAGTTATTGATTCTCTGAAGTATTTCCCATGTGGTTTGGTTTTTGTTCGTGAACACTCTGCCAACCCCCATGTCTTCAAGATTTTTACCTACTTTATCTTCCAATAGATTTAGTGTTTCTATTTTAATCTAGCTTGTTTAACTCCTTTGTCAAAGATTAGGTGGCTGAGTGTGTTTGTGATTGTTTCTGTTTCTTCCAGTCTGTTCCATTGATCTTCAGGTCTGTGTTTTAGCCAGTACCATGTTGATTTTTTACAGTAGCTTTGCAGTATAATTTCAGGTCAGGGATTGTGATTCAACCTGACTTGTCTTTGTTGCCCAGGATTGCTTTTGCTGTTCTGGATCTCTTCTGGTTCCAGATGAATTTTAGGAATGTTTTCTGTAGATCTGTGAGGTATGCTAATGGTATTTTAATGGGAATTGCATTGAATCTGTACAGCAATTTTGGGAGTATGGCCATTTTCACAACTGTCTTTAATTGTGCTGTTATGGCTGTCTCTATGTCCTGAATCAATTCAGAATGTTTACTTTTATAGTCATTTTGACTTTGGAGAAGAATCAGGAGTCACATAGTGCGGATCCAGTGAGTAGGGTAGACGAGGACACATTGTAGTGTTTTTATGAGCCTGCCTGTTGGTTGGATGGCACTCAGCAGCAACATTAACCGGATTTTTTATTATGCTTCATGGACACAAAAGATGACTTCCAAAACCGTTTCAGCAAATGTCAAGGATGATGAGATAAGAGTGTTCAAAGTGAAGGGAAGTATTTGAGGAGAATTAATGATTAAGGACAATGTGTCTTTATTTGTTAATTCAAACATTCATGTGTTATTTGATTATATCTCATAGAATGCTTTTGTATGTGTGTTAAAATATATACAACATAAAATTCACCATCTTAGTCATGCCAGCTCAGTGGCTTTATTACAACCATTCACATTGCTATCTAGTCATCACCACTATCCAACAGTTTTTCTTCTTCTAAAACTGAAACTCTGTACCCATTAAATGCTACTTGCCCATTCTACCCTAATCCAGCCTGGGTCACCACCATTCTACTTCTGTCTCTCTATACTTGATCCTCTCGGGACTTCATATAATTAGCATCATATGTTTGTCGTTTTGTGATTAGCACATTTTATTTAGTATAAGGTTCTCAAGGTTCATCCTTGTAGTGGCACATGTCAGAATTTTTTTCCTTTTTAAGGCAGAATAATATTCCATTGCTTACATGTACCTGATTTAGTTTAGCAGTTCATCTATTGATGAACACCTGAGTTGTTTCCACCCTTTGGCTATTGGGAATAATGATGTTATGAACATGAGTTGTACAAATACCGGTTCCGGCCCTGCTTCCCATTGTTTTGGGTACATATCCAGAAGTAGAGTTTCTACATCATATGCTAATTGTGTGTGACAGAGTGTGTGCGTTTTTGTGCTGGGGATTAAATCCACGGCCTTCACACTGAGCTCTTGTTTTTTTTTTTTTTTGTTTGTTTGTTTGTTTTTTTGTTTTTTTGTTTTGGTTTTCTCCGGTACCGGGAACCGAACTCACGACCTTGCACTTGCCAGGCAGGCGCTTTTGCCCCTGAGCTAAATCCCCAGCCCCCACACTGAGCTCTTTTTACTTTTTATTTTGAGATGCAGTCTCACTAAGCCACTAAATTGCCCAGATTAGGTTCAAACTTCCAGCCTTCCTGTTTTAGCCTCCCAGACTGCTGGGATTACAGGCATGCACCACCATGCTGGGCTGAATCTTTATGCCTTAATTTTTTTCATCCTAATGATTTCCACAATATGGATTTATAGTTTCTATGTAGTAAAATCTATACATACTTTACTGTTTTTGCTTTAGTGTCAAAAGTAGAAAGGATTCCCATCCTGAGATAGTAAAAATAAAATCCCATATTCTCTTTTAATATATTAATTAATTTTTCCATTAAATATATGCTCATTATGAAATTTATCTTTGTAAGGAGTAACTATGCAGAATCCAACTATATTTTTTTCCTAAAAACTACCAATTATGCAAATACCACTTGTCAGATGACCTAACCTGTCCCTACTGATATGAAATTTCATCCTATACTAAATGCTTATAAGCATTTGTCTTTCTGTTTACTTCCACTTTTACATTTATATATTCTCATGTGTGTATTAACTCTCATTTATTGTAGTTTTAAATGTATTTTATTATCTGGTAGAAAAACTATTTTCTCATTACTTCTCTTTTTCACAATTTTGTTGACTTTTATTTTCATATGAAATCAATTCATTTACTTTAGAATATTTTTTCAGGTTAAAATAATTTTTGAGTTTTGGTGAAAATTATGTTCAATTAATATATTATTTCAGGGTATATTAATATGCTATGATATAATTTTCCTGTATACAAATTAAATATGATATTTATTTCTACAGTTAATACTACTAGGTTAAACTGTATAAAATTTCTTGTATTTGACCATTTTTCCCTACATAAAATTGCAATCATATTTGTTTCAATATAATATTGCTTAGCACATTGTTTTTTAGCTGGTTTTTCTTTACAAAGAAATGGACTAATAATACTATCACACTGTCTTAATTTCAGGGAAATTAATTAATTACTCCACACGGTCCTAATAGCTGCTATTGGTTTATGATTCCCACTCACTTGTACACGAGACCTGCTTTAATGTATTCATTTATTTCATTAGATAGATGATGTGGTAGCTTGCATCCAAATTTGCCATCACTTCTTCCCTTCTTTGTATCGCATATCTTTCATCCTTGAGAAGTACAATCTATGCCTCTAATCTTAATTTCAGATAAGAAGGGTCATAAGAAGACTTGTAGCTTACACTTGCGCTTCTCAGTAAAGTCGCTGTCAGAGTCTGGTGCCACTACATAAAAGAGCCAATGACCATAAGGCCACCGTGTTTAAGGCTAGGCCAACCCCATGAATAGAAATGGCTAAATGTTTGTCCAGTCCCTGGCTATTTCAGACTCTAGCTGTGCATTCCCACTCAGACCCTAACCACTATGGAACAAAGATAAGCCCCACTGTGTCCTGTCTATACTCCAGAAAACCATCAAGTATAATAATAACAAAACTTATTTTAAGCCATTAAGCTTGAATAGCTTGTCATGCAACCATAAGTAATAGAAATGGAAAGTTTTTGCTCTTTTTAGTAATTATATAATCATCCATGAACTAGCCATGCAAAAGAAAAGCCTGGACCTTACAATAATCTGCATTGAAACATATGATCTTTCTCTATCCCATTTCCTTGCCTATCCCAGCTCAATTATCATCTATAGTCCAGTTGTCATATTTTTTAAAATTTTGTGTAGTTTTAAAAATAGTATGCTATTTTTGGGGGGCTGAACATTTTTCTCTTGATATCATATTATATAATTCATCCATATAGTTGTATATAATTTTAATTAATTTGTTTAACTAATATCTGATCATGTGACTATATCACAATTATAATATTTCTGATCATGTGACTATATCACAATTTACTCACATACTTTTCTACTGATGGGCACTTAAATTACCAGATTTTTGATGATGCAAACAAGATTGCTATGAGCATTTTTATGAATGATGTAGCTTATTTCTTTTTATGTTCTTCCCCCTCCCTTGCTCCCTCCATTTCTTATTCTCCTCATCTGCCAAAGATCTGTCTTCCTATTTCCTATTGTCCATCTTTTATTTTGCTGTTTGATTTATTTATACTTTGAATTTCTCCTATAAAAGAAACTATACAAGTTTTAAACTTGTGCATCTGATTTATTTCACTCAACAGTATGGATTCAAGGTGCATCCATCTTCCTACAAATTACTTAAATTCATCCTTTATGGTACAGTAGTACCCCATTCTGCATAAAAATACCACATTTTCTTTATCGATTCATCTATTGGTGATCCTGTCATACATAGAAATACCAAAAAACCTACAGAGGTGTGATTATAAATAATAGTTTATAGCAAGATAAGTGAACTAGTATAACCACTGTAGAAGCCAGTATGGACATTCTAACCCCAATCATATTAATATTATTTATACCACAGCTTCTGAAACTCTCCAAATGCTAGATGCCCTTGTTTTTTTTTTGTTTTTTGTTTTTTGTTTTTTTTTTTGTTTTTCTCTGGTACCGGGAACCGAACTCATGACCTTGTGCTTGCCAAGCAGGCGCTTTGCCGTTGAGCTAAATCCCCAGCCCCTAGATGCCCTTGTTGAAGCAGCTATTGATTCTGCATGTTTGGGGAGAGTTCACAGCTTTTACAAAATCTCAGATAATACTCATGCTCTTGCTGATGCTGACACGGATGGTGATGCATACACCACACTTTGAATAGCAAGATGTAGACTTTTGCAATCTGATATGGTAGCCAAATCCTGCGTTTGCATGTGCCCTTTGTATACTTCATCCAGAGCAGCTTCCTGTGTGGATCCTTTTGTGATGAACCTTCTGAAGCTTTCTAGGACTAAGAATATTTTTGTTATACCCTTTTGCATAAATGATGATTTTGCTGGATATAAAATTCTAAAGTCTACTTTCTTTTTTTGTAATATTTTGAAAGGCGTACTCTAATGACTTTCTGTAACCAATTCTTATTTGATGAATACCTTAGACAGTCCATCTGACTTACATTCCTTACTTTGGAATAACTCTTTCTCTCTGGGAACTTTTAGGCTTTTCCTATAGGCTTTGTCATTCTTAAATTTAACATTCCCATTTCCTTGTCCCTATCTATTCTCTGCAGTCTCTTTCAGTCTAAAGTCTCCCTTCTCCTTCTCCCTTGCATTTGTCCTCTTTTTTTCTTCTTTTCCTCTTTCCCTCCTCTTAACTCTGGGAAATTTACCACCATTTTTTCAAACATAACCTGTGCTTTACTTTTTTATTTTTCTTTCTTTCTGAGATTGCTACTGTGCAACTATTAACACTTCTACTTTTATCTTCCATATGTCCTGGCATTTTTTTCTATTTCTTCACTCTCCTTTTTCTTTAAGCAAGATGATCTCAATCTAGTCTTCCAAATTAGTAGCTCCTCCCCTCAGGTAGGTACATTCTGCTACTTATTCCAGCTACTCTTTCTTGAGCTATTCTATTTTCCATATTTAATTGTCTTAGCACTTTTCTCATCCCTGAGACACCACCTAACACCACAACTTAAAGGCAGAGTTTATTTTGGTTCACAGTTTTAGTCCATGGTCCACCAGCTCCAGAGCAAAAGCCTGGCAGAGGGGAAGAGCAAGGAAAGCTGTGCAGTTGGGAAGCAGAGAAAGAAAAGAGGAGCAGGCAAGGGAGACACTGCATTCTCTTCCAGGACTTGCTCCCAGTGACCTACCTCCTCTGACCAGACTCCACCTCTTAAGAGCATGTCAGAGGTATCACTCCACCCCAGGTCTGATCACCTTCGAAAGCCCTGCCTCTGAGCTCATAAAGCTTGGGAAACATTCTCCATATAAGCTATAACACTCATGTTTTTATTTGATCTTTGTTTACATTTTTTTGTTCTTGGTTCATAACTTTCAGTTTGTTTACTCATTTTAAATATTGCTCTAATATTTTTCCTTCTAAAGGAATCTATACTCTGATTATATGTTACTTTTTGTTTCAAATAGCTATGACTTTACACTGTCTTATTTTGGCTTGAACTCATCTTTCCTTAAGGATATTGCCATCTCCATAGATGAACTGGGAGATCAGACTCCTACTTATGAGGAGAGCCGCGGGGAGCAGAGGGTGGACGAGTCCTAGTGTGGAGAGGGAAAGACCAGAAATCCCTACCACTACTCACCCCATGAAACAGCTCTTTGGGCCTGGGCTTCATTCTTCACTTGCACCTTGGTATTGTGAAGTGACACCTCCAACCACTGTACTACCCAGTGTAATTCACCTGCCCTGGGAAAATTGAGAGAATGGAACACGGAAACAAAAGTCCAAAGTTAATAAATCTCTTGGGTTTTGTGTTTGTTTTGACTTTAGATGTGTTCTCACTATGGTGTCCAGACTGGCCAAGCCAGTCTCCTGCCTCAGGCTCCTAGTATTCTACTTGTTTTTCTTAGTTCCTCAAACTTTCTTGCATTTCACTAATGAGCCGTATTTTAGCAGTGTGTTTTTCTTTTCACATATGAATGCATTTGATTTGCTAATGTTTTATTGATGGTTTATTCATGAGCATATTACTTAGTAGCTTTCATTTTGGTTCTGCTTATCAAGTTTTTGTATTGTGTTAAATCAATTTCATTAAATAAATTGAAATTTTTTGTTATCTATGCATGAAAACAATTTAATTTGCATAGACGCTCTCCCGAGGTTGAAAACAGATCTACAAACAGATCCACTTCCTGTCCTTGTGGTATAGTTTGGATATGGGAAAGGGGAAGGCTTCTTCACAAATTTCTCAATTTATTGCCTATTTATTTCTCTATTCTGACTTTCTATTTCTTCTTGACTCCATTGTTGTTACATTTTCCTTAAAAAGTAACCAATTTGCCGGGGATATAGCTCAGCAGCACAAATGCCTACCTGGAAAGCACAAAGTACTGAGTTCCACTCCCAGTACCAAAAAAATAAATAAATAACCAACTCATCTAAATTTTCAAATTTCTTGGAGATGCAGTTTTTTTCTTCTTAAAACCAGCTTTATGGAAGTATAACCTACATTTTAAAATCCACCCATTTTAAGTACAGTTCAATTGGTTTTAGAAAATTATTCCTATATCTCCATTAGAAATACCAAGTATCTTTTAGTATTTAAAGTCATAACAAAAAGCTCCCTAGCTCACTTTTTGTAATCAATACCTCTTCCCACCCAAGAGCCAGGGAACTGCTGTTTTGCCGTCACCATAGCTGAGCCTTTTCTAAAATTTCATATGAATAGAATCAGACAGAATTTGTCCTTTATGTCTGACTTCTCTTGCACAGCATAAAATTTTTAAGATTTATCCACTCCTGCATCAGTAGTTCACCCCTTTTTGGTAGTAGAGGTCTACTGTATGGGATGTACCAAATCTGTTCATCTATCCACCAGTGGATGAACGTTTGGATTATTTCCAGTTTGAGACCCTGGAATCTGCACTTGCACATGTAATTAAATTAAAGGCCTTGACATGGGGAAATTTTCTGGCCCATAAGTTAGACCTTAAGTGCAATCATATGTATCCTTATAAGAGGAATGCAGAGGAAAATATGACAAAGAAAAGATGAGGTGAAGGAAAGCAGAGAGGAATTTGCAGCTACTAAAGTGATGCAGGCATACACCAAGAAGCGCCAGCAACTGCTAGAGGAAAGAAGAGGTGTCTTAGTCACTTTTCTCACTGCTGAAATAAAATACCCAACACCCAAAGTAAAGGAGGAAAGATTTATCCGGCTCACAGTTAGCAGAGGTTTCAGTCCATAATTGGCCGGCTCCAAGGCAGGGTTGCATGGCAGAGGGGCATCACAGAGGATAAACAGTCCATGACAAAGCAGGGCAGGCAGAAGGCAGCAAGCATCAAGCAAGCAACAAATGACAATCCTCTTCCTGTCCCTTATGCCAGACTACCCACTTTAGGGTGAGTAGCACTCACACCCAGGGTGGGGCATCCTTAATCCTAGCATCACACCATGAATCAATCCTTGATCCCAGCATCACACCCCAGATCCAGCCACCTCCAGAAAGCCCCACCTATGACCACATGAGGCTTTGGGAGGACATCTAGATACAGGCTGTAAGAGACAAGGAACAAATTCTCCCCTCAAGCCTCCACAGGCACAGTTATGCCTACACTTGAATTAAGCTATGGAAACTGACTATGGATTTCTGGCCTCCAGAACTGTGGAAGAATAAATTTATGCATTTTAAACTACCAGGGTTTTGGTAGTTTGTTATAGCAACCTCAGGAAACTAAAGCAGAGTCTTACAAAGAATGTTACTATAAGTGTATGTGTGAAAGTCTATGTGTGAGCATATTATTCATTTCTCTTAGATACACAGGGATGGGATTGATGGATTATATGTTTACATTTATAAGAAACTGACTTCTTCAAAATGGCTATAACATTTTACATTCCCATCATCAATGTATAGAAAGCTTCAGATAGTCCACATTCTTACCAACACTTGATATGACTCATCTTTTTAAATTTTAGCTATTCTAGAATGTGTATAGTGGTATTTCATAGTGGTTTAAATTTATGTATTACTAATGACTAAGGATATTTTTATATGTGCTTTTTTTTCATTTATACATCTTTGGTAAAGTATTTATTGTAATATTTTATACATTTTTACTCAGTTATTGGCCTTTTTAGTATTAAGATAATTCCTTATATAACAGATTGCAAATATTTCTCCCAGTTTATAACACATCTTTTCAATTTCTCAGTGACAACATTTTTCAAAGAACAAATTGTTTACTTTCAATGTATTCCAGTGTAAATTTTGTGGTCTAGGAAATCTGCCTACCCCCATGTACAAGTTTTCTTTTAGAAGTTTTACAATTTTACTTTTTTTTTTTTGGTATGAGGAATCAAACTCGGGACCTTACGCTTGCCAGGCAGGTGCTTGTGCTGCTGAGCTATAACCCTGGCCCAGAAGTTTTATAATTTTAGTATTTATATTTATGTCTACAGTTGACTACATGTTAATTTTTTGTGGTATGACATAAGGATCAAGATTCGCATTTTTACAAATAAATACCCAGTTGCTCCATTTCCGTGTGTTGGGAACAGTATCCCCACTGAATCACTGGGGCACCTTTGTGGGAATTCCACTAACCACGTATGTTTCATTGAGTTATGTGTGCATCCTCAAACAATCCCACACTGTCCTGATTGCTATAGGTTTTGCAGTCATGAACTCAAATAGGGTAAGTCATCTACCTTTATCTTGGTTTTAACACTCTTTGGGATATTTTAGCTCTTTTGTATTTCTTCATATGTATTTTAGAATCATTTTGTCAATTGCTACCTCTTCTCCTTTCCCCTGGAAAACAATCCTGATGGGATTTTGATTTGGGTTGTTTTGAATCTATAGATCATTTCAGAGACATTTGAAATCTTAATATTGAGTTCCCTAATTCATGAATACAGCATGTCTTTCTATTTATTTTAGTTTTATTTAACTTTCCACAGCAATATTGTATAATTTTTAATGTACATGTCTTACACATGCTTTGTTATATTTATCTTTGATTGTTATTGATTGTTATGGTCATAATGATTTTTGGTTTGGTTTTGGTTTTTTGAGACAGGGTCTCACTATTTAGCTCAGTCTGGTGTTGAAAGCACTATATAGTCAAGGCTGGCTTCAAACTCCCAGGATTCCTCCTATCTCGGCCTCCTGAATGCTGAAATTATAGGCATGTGCCACATGCCCAGCAGGGTAATAATGCTGTTGCCGGTGACGTTTTTAATTTCAATTTCCAATTATTTATTGCTCTCTTCAGCTTAGAAATTTGTCTTTCTAGGATTTTGCACTGCTTATTATGCCTAATATTTTGTGAGATCTTCTTTTATTTCATTCACATTGCTAAAGATGTTCTTATTTTCCCAGCCTTTACACAAATAAACACTTCGGTTTGTTTAATAAGTCTATCAAGTCTTCATTTCCTAATTTATTGTTTTGCTTTTGTTCTTGTTAATTTTTTCCTATTACTTTCATTAAGCTTATTTTGTTAATTTTCTCTAAGTTTTTTTTATTTTATTGTTGAATACATTTTGCTTTTGTTCTGTCTTATTTAATTATTGTAATGGCTTTGTACTGTGACCACTCAACTAAGCTGGAAGAACTACACATCACAGAACTTCCCTCCATGTATGGTTGTGGGTGAGAGTTAGTCCCAAGGAAAATTTACGTGGGGTTTAGAAGCAGTGATTTGTTTAAACCAAAGGTCATTGGAGGGCCAGGTACCACTGCACTTTGCAAACCGTCTCATGTCTACGGACTGACCTTGCTGGTGTGGGCAGGATCTAGCCTCTCACCTCCTTTCTCCCGCTGCACTCAGATTTTCATCCTGTTTCCTGTGCAGCTGGTGCTAGCTCCCTGGAGATGTGAGCCACAGACGGGGGTTCCCGTTTGTCCTTGTAGGCTCCAGTTCATTCCTATTGTCCTCACCTCACATCCCTCTCCCCTTCTGACATAACCTAATCTAAGGATTTGGCCTGTGTTATTCCTATACATTTCTTTTTGCCTTGGTTAGTTCTCTAAAGACTTTGTGGTCTTATTTTATTATTTTTCTAACTGTTACTAGCAATAACTCATATACCATCTCTAAGTTCTATTGTTTTATCTTTTAACACCATTTCTCTTAAGATATTTTTATTCAAAAAATTTAATCAAGATGTGAGAGGTACTTCTGATATAAACATTTGTGCTATAACACACCTTCCATACTGAAACTCTTATTGACTTATTTGTTTTATTTCCCCAAGCAATGTTTCAGAATGGACCATTTACTTTCGGAATACAGGCAAATCTAAGAACATCCCTGTGCTGCCTTCCACATGAATAATAATTAGGTTGGGTAAGTAGACAGTGTTCGTATGTTTGTTTTCTTCACTGGTCTTGCACTCAGCTGTTCCTTTCAGGAAGCACACTCACCCCCATTTTCCATTCAGGGTGCACTGGGTAGTGATGACCCCATCCTCAGCCCAGGGGTAGACAGATATGTGACAATGGAAACCTGGCAATCTACTGGCCAAGTGGTTGGTGATCAGTATTGACCAGTTCCAGGCCAGTGAGAGCCACTTCCACTGAACTGTCAGAAAAGAGAAGTTCTAGAGCCTCTAATGGTCACCTGGTGGGCCATGTGAGGAAGAAGCCAATTCAAGATAAGGCAGAGTTAAGAGGTGACGGGAAAAAGGGAGCACCTAGGTCCTGCCAGAAAAGAAAATATGTTTATTCACAACTAAAACTGCAAAGGGAGATTCAGGTACTGGTGGATTCTTGTATCAGATTATTTCTCTTTCATCTCACTAGGAATATGCATGTAGAGTATTTTTTTTAATCGGGTTGAATGGAGTAAATTTCATGAGGACATAAATTTTCTCATTTCTCTGAACAAACCCCTTGTTTAAAGCCACTGAATTCACTCATATGTCTAGTAACTTTGATTTGCCCAAGGAGGGAATTTATACGTTGGCTCAGGTCTAAGATTTATGACAGTCTTCCATGACCGTCTAAGAGTTCACTATTCAAATTGCTTAGTTCCAGATAAATTATATTTTTCCAGTTTATTCTGTGAGATCTGGGTAGAAGTTGGTTTATAGCTGCCCAGAGGATGGTTTGGGTGAGAACCAAAGGTTCCATGCTGAAAGATATGTGTTCCTATTGTCATTATACCCTGAGATTGTCTGTCATTGTACCTCTTTCCCACCTGAAACAGTGACCTCAAAGATACAGTGAAGTGCAGGCTGCAAGCCCTAACCTTGGACAATCTCTCTACACTGGCACCAGCCTCATATTCCAAAATCATTCATGAGGTTGAAATTCCTGCCTCTTCTTAATCTCCCTCCATTCAGTTCTGGGGTGCCACCTTAATTGTTTATAACTAGCGCTCAGTTCTGTGCCTCTCTGCTCTAATCTTGTGCTTTTAATGGCTTTCTGGGTAACTTGTTAACTTACTTCACATGAAAGACAAAGGATTGCTATGCCTTCCTTCATCCTAACGACTCTCAATGCCATGAAGCCTTCCTCCTAAAAGAGCCTATCAGCACACAAGTGTGGAGAGGAGTTTTGTAGGAGGCACATAAATAGGAAAAGGGGTGTTTCATATTTTTGAATTTATCTGAAACTAAAAGTAATATTCAACAAGATTGTCTTGACTGGAATCATGCAGAAGATATATGTGAGAAAACTTTGCAAAGATGTTAAGAAGCGAAACATCCAATTCTACCCAGTAAGTTCCTGGTTGGCTGGTGGGTTCCTTCTCATGTTTTGACAGTCAGTGAAGATATATAAAGGCTGAGTGGGTGGATAGATGAATGGATGGAAGGATAGAAATACCAGTTTAAACATGGTATTTCAAAAATACAACCATAGTTTGATCCACCTATTCATCCAAAAGGCAAAATGCCATTTAGGAAGATAATTTCCATTTTGGTCTAAAATTGTCTTGATAATAGCAAAATGCATTAACTATCCATCAAAATGCCATTTTCCTTTGCTCCACAGTGAGAGTTCTCTCTGGGAAGTAAGGAGCCTGATAGCATGCTTCCCCATCCTCTTTCCCCAGGGCAAGACCATGTGACCAGCTTCATGACAGAATACACACAGCAGTGATTTTTTCCCCCTCTCTGTGTTCCTTCAGCTGACTGACAGGGCAATACTGGAACATCCTTGAGGCCAGTGCTCAAGTTGGCAGAGCTGCTATCAACCTGGTTCCCTGAATGACTGGCTACAGCGGAGAACTCTACCAACTCTGTCTCCATGAGATAAATTACTTTCCATTCCATGATTTTAAAATTCTTTTCTTTTTTCTAGCAGTTTATCTTTTACCCTAACTACAACTGAATTTTCAGTGAGTCAAAAATCTGTTCCTCCCCATTCACTACCTTCTAGCTATTTCCATTGGGTGAAAAGCACACAGAAAAAAGTAGCTCTATAGTTGTGCAGCAAATTATGAGAGAAACTTTTAATTTTCATAAGAGGCTTTGGAAAGAATGACTTAGTGAGACCCTATTTTAAGATAAAAATGAAAAGGATCTGGGCATGGTGGCACACACCTATAATCCCAGCACTCAGGAGGCTGAGGCAGGAAGATTACCACAAGGTCGAGGCCAGCCTGGGCTACTTAGTGAGTTCAAGGCCAGTCTGCACTACAAAGTGAGGCCCTGCCTCAAAAAAAGGCGTACTGAGGATGTAGCTCAGTGTAAAGGACCCAGGTTCCACCCCCAGTACTGAGAAGGTAAAACTAAAACACTGATTTCAGGTAGCTCTGTAACTGTTAGTCACAATTCAAGGAAGGAATTTAACCAACTTATCACTGTGTGCATAATGCATACACACACACACACACACACACACACACACACACACCCCAACCTGAATGGAGCTATAGTGCATACACCATGCTCTGCTTTGGGGAAATGTCGGTTCTGAAGAACATTCCAGAAACATGTGAGCACCAAGACCCAGACAGCAGAATGCCACATTATCCATAATCAACAATGATGACCTAGCCCAGAAAGGAAGAAGGGCCTGGATGTGTTTCTGGCCTCATGACCTCTGTCTTGTATCCATCCTCATGGATTGTTTGAACCATGCATGAAACTGGGTGGGGTAACATGGGATAACCTCCTGCCCACTTCTGGCCACCAAGACCAGGGCCTCAGGCAGGGGGCACATGCACACTAGCACTCACACACCGGGTCCCAGGTCTCCTGCCTCTCACAGGCTCACTTTTCACTCCTTGCAAACCCAGGTGACTCAGCATTATGGAGCTTCCAGTTCTTCTTCCCTGTAGTTCAGATAATTCAGCTGAGTAATCAGAAATGTCCCAAGTATAAGAGTCCCTGCTTCCCAACCTCACCCTTGCATCACTCTGGAGGGGCAGCAGAGACCCTTATCCTAAGAGTCATCTTTCCTCAGAGCCCCAAGGCCTGTGCACACTACCACTCCCAATCCAGCCTCCACAGTAAGCACTTCAGTCCTGTCCTCTCTTCCCAGCCCCACCCCACCCCTTCTTAATTCTGGCCAGCTGGCCCCCACACCCCTTCAGAATTCTGGGAAAGGCAAAGAGAGGAATGGAACAATGGCCTAAAATTAGAACCCACAACAGAAGCATGGCATTCTGAGTCATGCATTGTTCTTTTCCCGCTGCTCCCCAAAGCTGCTGGTATAACCACACTGGTTCTGGCCCTGACAAGTGCTGACAGTGGGATCCAAGCCAGCCAGGCCTCAAGGTAGAGGGGCTACTGGAGTAACAGCCCAGAGGGCTGGGGCTCCTGAGCAACAGAAACCACTGGCAAGACAGGTGATGTCAGCCTTAATAGGCAACAATTACTTCCTTCTGCTCCATGTTCTCCCCGCTCCCCTACAACCCGCAACCTCCACCCAGCACGTGTGGCACATAGTGTGGACACACAGAACAATGGCTGCCTCAGAGGACACATCAGTTGTGGTCAGGATCGCCCTAGGAGTCACTGTGCAGCCAGTCCTTCCCCCAGAGGGCACATGTATGTCATCTTCTGGGGGAAAAAATGACTCCCACACATTTTCTGCAGTTTGTACCCCCAAGAAGGAAACTTTATCCACTTCCCTTGAGGACGGGTCCCCAGTGTAGAATCTCACCAGAGACTTCTTATCCAGTTCTTGACACCCTTCAGCCTTCTTTCAAGGAAAGAAACCAATGTTTGGGGTTCCCTCCTTCGTGCAGCCCTTCCACCTTTGCTGTGGAGTTGAGGGCCACCATCAGAGACCTGGGGCAGACATGGTTTTCCTGTTAGCACTGCTGCTTCATGGGAGAGATGGAGGCAGGAGCCCCTCACCCTGTTTAGTTGCCACGGTGTGTCCCAGGGCTCTTCAAAGGTCAGCAAGGACCAGAACCACCACCGGTCCTATGGCTGACTGTTGCTCTCAGAGTGTCTGAGACTATGGGCCTATGGGAGCCCTCCAGTCTGCCTTTGTGTGCAGCTCGAAGTGGGAGAAGACCACACTTGGAAATAGGGGCTGGGGTCTGAGCATAAACGGCCAGATTCCTGAGCTGTGAATGCACTGGCAGGCCAGATACTGTTGGAGAAGCTGGTAGATAGCAGGAGGATGTGCGCTGAGCTGGGCTGTTGGTAGGATAAAGGGAGACAGAAATTAGAAGTTAAAATTAGGAAGAGCGCGAGGAACTTTGCATGCTGCCAAAGAACCTGATTCTCACTATTGACAGCACGGTGTGGAGGCGGGCAGGTGGACCGAGCTGTTTGGGCTGAGAGCTGCAGGGTGCAGAGAATGCCTAGGAGACAGAGGGAAGGAGAGAGGGCACAGGCACCAGCCCAAGCACTCCCCAAGGACAGGACCAGGACTTATTTTACTTTGCATTCCTGGCAACTGCCTGCCGGGCTCTTAGGAGCACCCAGTGAGTGTTTGAAGGTCAAGTGAGTTGCTACCCAAGAGGGCTCCAGCAGCAGTCTGACCTGGGCGAGGCCAGGACAGTAAAGAAGGGAGAGGCAGGGACTCATAGTGGCACGGGGTAGGAAAGTGAGAGATGAGGCCTTGAGAGCCTTGGGGTGGGTGGGGTGGGGGCTAAGAAGTAGGCAGAGGTGACACATGTGTGACACAAAGCTGGACATGGTGGTACACACCTGTAATCCCAGCACTCAGGAGGTTGAAGCAGGAAGATCATAAGTTCGAGTTCAGCCAGAACAACTTAGCACTTTGGTGAGACCTGTTTCAAAATAAAAAGTAGAAGGTGCAGCTCAGTGTGAAGGCCTTGGACTCAATCCCAAGTACTGGAAGGAAAAAAAGAACCAGCACCAGACATGCAGAATTCAGGAGCCTGAATTGGATGAGAAGTAAATAAGAACTCTGCTCCTCCAAGATGAAATCAGCCCGCCATCCTGGGATCAGAGGACAGAGCATGGGAACCCTTAGCTTAACTGAGAAGCTGCACACATGTGCAGTGTCTCTTATCGGATCCTCAGCGGTCTTGCCCTGCCGTGCCCCAATATCCACCAACAGGCTCAGATGTCCTGGATTGGGGGAGCGTGCCTGTTTGTTAAACTCTCCCCTCCAAAGGAGAAGGACACATTTCCTCCCCTTCAGTCAGTTGGCATCACAAGAGAGGCCGCTGGCAGCTGGAAGAATTTCCCACAGCTGGAGTACCGGCACGTGGCTGGGCTGAGGGAGGGGGGTGCAGGCAGCCACCGGCATCCAGGCCTGGAGCAAAGTCAGGTCTCTAGAGGGAACTGGGGGGAAGCTCTGTTTAGATTGAAAGAAAATCATCAGAAAACTCAGAGCTTTGGTTCCAGTTTAGACTGGCTCATTGGTTTGTTCTCTTTTTTTAAGACACTGTCTTTGTTTATAAGAAGTATTTGTATTTGTTTCCATTTGGGATTCAGCAGATGAGCGCAGTGCATTCCAGGGTCTGCTTCACAGATCAGCGCCCCTGGGATGCGCACACATTCCACTCTCTGCCTTGGGGAGTCCGGGAATGTGCTGTCCCCTATCTGTCTGCTCCCTGGACAGCCCCAGGATAGAGTGTGCCCTGCTCAGACAGGAGCCAGGGATTGCCCCACCAAGAGGAGCAAAGGCTGAAACACTGCAGTATACCATTACAGAGACTTCCAATGTGCCAGGTCATAGGTCAGCTCATTGAAATCCTTTCAACAATGCCATAGTCAACACACTTATTACCTCTATTTTATAAGTGGAAATGGAAAGTCAGGACGTTTTAAAGAAACATACCCACAGTTGCTCTGATGGTACATGCAGAGCTAGGATTTGAACCCAGGACCCAAGTAGTTTGGCTGCAAAGCGTATCCAGACCTTCATATTAATCTTTCTGCATAAGGTATTCCTACCTACAGGGGAATGTGGCCCCAACGCCCTTGTTTCCCCTTGAAAGGGATGAGATGAGTGAAAAGAGTGGCTGGCAGCTCCTAGGCTGAGTGATCTGTCCAGCTCCATCTAGGAGATGACGTGCGCTGAAGCTGCCCCAAGCAGGGCCCCTCCCAGGAAGTTGTCTAAGAGGTTGGAATTGCTGCCTCTGAGGAACTGTCTTCCTCTTTCATGCCCCAAGCCAGAATAACTGCAGAGGTGAGAGATCCAGCCAAGCCTCAGACTGCAGGGACAGAAGCCAGGACCAGGAGGGAAGATGTCTCATCAGCCTGCAATCTCCCCTCTGGACACCTGGACACTACCTTGGGATTCCAGCAAACCCCCTCAGAGGCTATTCAGCCCTCACTGTTCCCAGGCCCACTTCTGCTCAGTATTTCTGGGGTGAGCCACATTTGGAAAGCCCATCTTGGAGGACAAAATCATCTTAACAGACAGACACTGACCATCTCTGTTATGGTTTGTGTTTAGATGTCTCCCCAGAGCCTCATGTGGTCATAGGTGGGGTTTTTTCAGAGGTGGCTGGATCTGGAGTGTGTGATGCTAGAATTGATTCATGGCGCAATACTAGGCTCAAGAGCACTAGGATTAAGGGTGTGGCTGCCCTAAGTACTTTGGATAAAATAAAAGGGAGAGAATGACACTGTTAAGGAAGCTTGCTGCTTTGCTACCTTCTGCCTGTCATGAATGATTCTCCTCTGCAAGGCCTGTCTTCTATGCCATCTTGCTTTAGAACCTGCCAATTATGGACCGAAACCTCTACAAACTGTGAACCAAATAAACATTTTCCCCTTCAACTTTGAGTGCTGGGTATTTTGTCTCAGTAATAAGAAAAGTAACTAAGAAAATCTCCAAAAACATCAAAGTCAGAATGGGCAACCAGAACCATCAATAAACAGCAAGGGCTGACATGAGGCCAAGTACTGAGAAGCAGAACAGGATCCCAGGGAGGCTCAGAAAGCTGCGAGGTGGGCCAACCGAGTAGATCCTCTCCTGCCTGGGAAGGAGGCCTGGAGGAAAAATCCTTCTGAAAACAGCTATCCTCACATCTCCGGGCTCCATTTCCAGAGGCCTCTAGCTCCCAAGCACAGCATGGGCTGACTGGTTTTCAAAAATCCTAAAGTCCCTGCTCTTGGGAGCAGGAGAAAAAGGAGAGGGAACAAAGTGCCCTGATGGTGCCCAGCAACAGAGCAACCTGCAAAGCTTCAATACTGTAACTCCCTCCCTCACCACAGCCACCTTACCCACTCCCTGCTCCGCAGTCAGCAGGGAACCAGCCTAATGCAAAAAGAAATAGACGTGGGCCGAGACACCACAGCTTCCTGCCCCCTTTACTTCTGCCCATGATTCAGGCTGCCCTTCACAGCGTGGCCAGTCAATGATCCGCTCTTTTCTCCCCACCTCTGCTTCTGAGCTCCTTGCCATGCACTGCAAACATACTCAGGAGTCTTTCTTCTGGAAACCTTTCCTTTTTCCCTGAGCCTCTCCTCCTGCCTTAAATCCCTGTACTTCTTTTCAAAAGTATGGATCAATGGCCCACATTACATCCTTAATTCCTAACTGGCGCCATGTTGTTTACTTGATCTTTTTGGAAGCCACCAGTGGCCTCAGGATTACCTGTGGCCCTCTGCCCTGACCTTTCTCCCTCTATCACACTTTCTCCCCGCAAGGCTTCCCCTCTGCTACTCTATCTTGATTCTTGGGCCACTCCTCTAGATTCACTTCCTGGCTACCTCTCCGAAGCTGGCTTCCCATGGTGCTCCATTGTTAAGCCTCTATCCTCTCCCTCCTCATCAGTCCTGGGTAGCATTATCTAATTGCCCAGTTTTGGGTACCTATCTCCTAAGAAGTTCCCAGTCCTAGGTCCAGCCTCTCTCCCAGTCAAGAGCTTCCAATGGCAACTAGACCCTCAGTGCCACGTGACAACTCCAAACAATCCTGACT